AATCCTGTTACTCCCTGTAGGGATCTAGCCTTATTCCAAATCTTTTGTATCAAATTGTAGGTGGCAAAGCGTTTGTTGGGTTTACCAAAAGCTTGAGCTTCCAACCCTTTTGGGATCGAGTCCCTGTTTGTATATGTAAGTACTAAGCAGGTGGTGGAGCTAGGATAGGGGGAATCCACCCCGAGGTCTGAGAGCCCACCAAATGTTACAGTTGCACTGTTAAGTAATAAAGCCATGGGCTGGGAAGAGCAGGGCCACCGTCATCCTTGGGGAGCTGGAGGTGTTCTAGTCGGATCCTTCCAAAGAAGGGAACGCTAGATGGAATTCACAGGTTTAAAAGTTTTTAATCAGATTATAGTGGGGGTAATATGAAAAAAAATAAAGAAGCTGCGGCATGAGGATCATCTTGATTAGGTTGGTTTTACCCACTACAGACAGTTTTAACTTGGACCAGATTTTAGTCTTATCTTCAAATCGAGTAAGCAGTGGAGAGATGTTATACCTGCAAAAGTCTGTAAGGACCAGGGTAATATAAATTACCAGGTATTTAAGTTTAGAAGTGATTGGTTTTGGGCAGGAGTGAGTCACTGGCTGATTAACATCACCATCCAGTAACATCAGAGCAGATTTAGTCCAAATATTAGCTAGGCCTGAAAAGGTCCTAAATTTAAAAATGATGCCCATGACTGCTTGTAAGGATGATGACGTGTCACCAAGCATCAGCATCATGTCGAAAGCATATAACATGATTTTCTTATGTAAGGTGCTGTATTGAAAGCCAGTAATGTCAGGAGTGGAGCGAATAAGAGCCACCAGCAGCTCAATGGCAGGGTCAAATAATAGAGGCAATAGTGGGCAGCCCTGTCAGGTTCTTCTATCCAAGGTAAAAGGGGCTGAAACTTTAACCGACACTCTAATTGTAGCCTTAGAGTTAGAGTATAGGAGGCAAACCCAGGAGAAACCTTACCAAATCCAAATTTATCTAGCACTGCCAACAAGTACTGCCATTCAATACTGTCAAAAGCCTTATTGGCATTAAGTGAAAATAGAACCCTTTGTCCCATATTTTCAAAGGGTGCTTGCATGTTCATATACAGCCATCGTAAATTGACAGCCATAGATTTATGTAGCAAAATCTTGCCTGGTCTGGGTGAACAATAGAGGAAATAACTGATGTTAACCGAAAGGCTATTACTTTGGCAAGAATCTAAATATTATACTGTAATAAAGAAATGGGCTTATAGGAGCCAGGTTCTAGGGAATCCTTTCCAGGCTTCAACAGTAAAATAATTTGAGCCCTTGACATCGAAGGAGGAAGTCGCTGGGAAATGCGGGCCTCATTGTACAACTTAATGAAAAATGGCAGAATTTGTTCCTCATAATGAAAGAACACCTCCATTGGTAGATCATCATCCCCCGGAGCCTTACAATTAGGGAAGGAGCTGATTGCCCCCTGTAGTTCCTCCAGCATATTAGGAACATCTAACCATCTCTTTTATATAGCAGATAGGGTAGGGAGAGGGATTACCTGCACATACTGAGCAATATCAGCCAAGGAACACCCACAATGGGAGCTGTAAAAATCCTCATAAAAAGCTGTCAGTTCGGCAAGCACTTTGTCCGGAGTGTTCACTATACTGTCATTTCTGGATTTAATGGCACCTATAGTGGGGGAAGCATGATGAGAGTGGATCAGCCGTGCCAATAGGCGACCAGTCTGCTCTCTCTCCTCATAAAAAGCCAGTTTACTAAAGAACCTCTTATGTTCTGCTATGCAGGTCGTCAAGCAATCCAGGGTGGCCTTGGCCGACAGCCACGCCTCCCATGCATTGTCTGAGGAAGTGGTGATATATTCCAATTCAAGCTGACCTACCTGTTGCTCTACCTGCATATGCAGTTCAGAGGAAGAGCGCTTTACCCCATGATTTTCAGCAATAAGCACACCTCTCAAAAAGAATTTAAACCTCTCCCATACCAATAGGCTGTCCGTACAATGTTCATTGATTTGAAATAAAAGATGTTTTGCGCAATCTGGTCATTTGAGCAGTATAATTGCAACCAGAAAGTGCTAAATTTCCAAGGGCTCTAGACAGTCCAGTTGGCATTTTGGCAGTGACCCACACCGCCAATGGAGAATGATCAGATATTCCTCAGTGATAGTATTAAATTTTAGACAGCAAGCAGCCCATAGATAGTGTACCAAAACATAAATCTATTTTGGAAAGGGATAGATGTGTCTTAGAAAAACATCAAAACCGCCTATTTAAAGGGTGCCCCCCCTCCCTCCAAAGGTCTTGCCACCCCACCTCTTCAGGAAAGCAGGATAGGGTTGTACCCCGGGGAGTCTCTCTAAGAGGTACTGGGGGATGCCTGTCTAAAGCTGGATCAAGATAACCATTAAAATCCCCTACAATTAGTAGCAGAACCTCTGGCTTGTCAATCAGAAAGGCCAGTAAGGCCCAGAGCACCATGGTGGAGAAGGGAAGTGGTATATAGATACATGCTAGAACAAAAGTAATAGCAGCGAAATGGCAATAAAGAAATATATACTGTATATCTACCCTCTGAATCCACTGAGGAGAGGTAAACCTGGAAATCCAGAGCATGGTGTACCAGGAAACTCAGCCCACAAAAGAAAGAGGTATGAGTGGAGTGAAAATCACTATCCACCCAAGCAAATGGAGACAGCTAAGGGTAGATCTCGTGAGGTGAGTCTCCTGAAGGCTCACAATGGCTGGGTGGAATTTATGCAGACATGTGAATATCATAGAAGGTTTCAAAGGACTCCACACCCCCCCCCTCACATTCCACAAAACAATTGTTATATCTGACGTAACAATACAGAGAAAAATGAGTAAAGGATATCCCCTGGACATATATATATAAGACCAGATAGTCCCTGCTGAGGCTGAGAACAGGGAGTCCACTGGATCTTGAAAGCATGTCCGATGAAATATTTAAAGCAAAAATTATAGGTACTGTCACAAAAAAGAAAACTGCTGAAACCTGAGAGATCAGGCGTAGCTTTGCCTAAAATAAACACCAAACAGTCCAAACAAAATAAGATGCTGCCTTGGTAGGCCAATGGCCAACTGTGGGGGCACTCTTCTCTCCTTTCCCCGCAACACAGAAATAGCTCCAATAGAGTGCCGACCAGACACCACAGTCATTGGGCTATACTTGGAGTTGGTTATGGCAATTCAGTAGAAGTGAAACAGTGAAGAAAGAGGCCGCAGAAATTTTATTCATCTTCACCAGCCATTGCCCTGTGGTGACGTAGACTGTGCTCATTAGTATCCAGCCTTTCAGTGTCTTTAAAGAGCTCAGACATGTGCTACTAAGTTAGATTAATGAGTGGACTTTTTTAAGGCACAGTAACAGGTCTTTGAGAGCCAGAATTCTTGCTGTTTCTTAGGTGTTCAAATACTTATGTTCAGCAGTGCAAGGCAAATAAATTCTTTAAAAATCATACAATGTGATTTCCTGAATTTTTTTTTTAAATTCTGTCTCTCAGAGTGGGAATGCACCTACAATGTGAATTTCAGACCCCTCCATGATTTCTAAGTGGGAGAACTTGCAAAATCGCAGGGTGTTCAAATACTTCTGTTCCTCACTGTATATATATATCAAAATTGAACGTTATTATGCTATTTTCTATCCAGGTCAAATGTTTTCCATGCACAAGAATAGCATGAATCAGGAATATACAGCATTATGGCCAACAGATGGAGCTGATGAACACAGGGAGAAAAAACTTATTTACTATGATCATCTGCTCTATCTAGTGGCCATGATGTGGTATTTCCCTGATCCACTATTTGTTATTACTGAAAAACATTCAAAACAAATGTACAAGCAATTTTATAGGATGCATATTTTTTTTTTGTTTTGTTTTTACAAATACACCCCTTAAACTTACCTGGAGCTCTTTATGTGCCAAAAATGGCTTCCTATTTTTCTATTTTTTTTTACAGAAAGTCAGACAAAACAGAAAGTAAAAAAAAAGTTTAAAACAACAAATTATAGCGACTGTACCATTTTAAAGAACACAAAATAAAAATGCTACCTAAATAAATCCCTTCCCCCAAAAGAACACCCTCTAAAGAAAAAAAAAATTGATTGTTTTATTTTTTCAAGCACAGTTTGCCTAAGCAGCTTAATAAGCACAAATTAAAGTTGTTGCTTTGGTTAAGTTTCAATGTCAAAAATTAATAATTGCAAAATACTAATGAGTGCAGCCATACACCCCTATCAAGATCCTCCTGCTACTATAATTCCTACTGAAAGCTACAATTGCCAATACTATGCTACATGTCCAAATAAATAAATTATAGGTAAACAAATAATTACATGGTGTTTTAAAGATGAGCAATTGTATAATCTAATTTTGATTTCCAACTTTTATAGGTAAAGTTTTATTAGTTCATATACATATAAAAAACAGAACACATCTGGGTCATTTCTATGTACACATAAATTCATGGAAATACCAAAGCAAGATTGTTTCCCTGTTCTTCAACTGATACATGTCCTCACTTGCAACCACATCACATAGCCTGAAATGTACTTAAAGAAATTAGTTGAGCTTTGGAATAAAAATAGATTCAAGATGAATAAGTATTTATAGAGCAGGACTTTCATAGAAACCAGAATAGCTGGTTACTGTGCAGTTCCTAACCTGACTCGCCTTGGCTCTCTGCAAGTTAAAGTGGCTGTACACACCCTCACATATACCCAATGAAGTGACCGGCCTCAAGTGATACACAGAGATGAAATAAATCCTCCTACATAAGTTGTACCTCTTGTCTGCTCTTGTACCTCTGTCTTCTGTTCTTTACAACAATTAAAAATGCAGAATTTATAAAGCTTGTCTGAGCTTCAGAGCTCAGTGAGGAGAACACTTTAAAGTGGTCCTATATCATAAAGCTAAGTAAACAGTTTGGCTAGGATGGATAAAGTGCTGTCAAATGTCTAAAATACTAAAATACTTACGACACAAGCAGGGGCGGACTGACAACTCATGGGGCCCCCGGGCAATAGGGGATCATGGGGCCCTTGTGTTCTTGCCTATGAAAAAGGTACCAGGGGCATCTCATGGGGCCCCCTACTGACCCCAGGCCCTCGGGAAGTGCTCGAGTTTCCAAATGGTCAGTCCGCCCCTGGACACAAGTCCTAACCCTGCTTAGATATCCCACCAGGGAACTGTCAAAGCAGGCAGCCAATCATAGACGTTGGAGGCATCCCCCCCCCAAAGGACATGTATACATGCAGCTGTAGGTCAGGGAATGCCTCTGCTATCTATGATTGGCTGTTCGCTTTGACAGCTTCCTGGTGAGATAGCTTAGGGGGGTTCAAACTTGTTTTAGAAATCGCCTGAGCTCATTCCTGCTCACAACTGTCCCTCATTTGAAGGGACTGTTCCTCTTACCTCTTGTCACTCTTTTTGATCTGATGTATATTTTATTAAATTATAAAGGATACCTAAACCAAAGAACAAAAATGTAATGTATTACAGATTACCAGTCTTTAGAATTTGTGGCCACATTTGTTGTATTTTTTCATGCAAAGAACATTTTCAGTGTACTCTGGCTGTTTCTTTTTTACAACCTGCCAAGGTTCACCTGGATTATTAAGTAGGGGGATCTATATGCTCTCTTCTCTATTGGTCCACTGCTGGAGAGGAACCTCTGATGCCCTGTGTGAGCGGGGTTCCGCATATGACTCTATAATATCATCATTATTTTGTTGTATTTATTTGTTCTTTGGACAAATGGTAACACTGGAAATGTTCTTTTCTTACTTTTGTTCTTTTTGTTAATGGACGGTTCTTTCTTACTGTTTTATATATGGTACTATATTCTGTTCTCTGTATGCCTTGAACATTAATAAATAATATTTATGATTTAAAAAAAAAAACAGCATTTTTAGTAAGCATAGAAAATACCAGTTACCACTTGCCTTAGATGGACATACCCATATATCCTCTGGTTTAAGTGGTTCTACCAGAGTTATGATTGCAGCTGCAGTCATGACCTGGGTATCTTTTGTTTCAGCTGGTGATACCGAAAAGTGAGATGAGAGGCTAAATAGCTGCTGGAGCGCTTTTACATGTGGTGGAAGGTGGTCCCTCCCCCCACCTTCCCGGGCTCTCCCATTCCATCGTGCAGCCCAGGACAGAAGTTGGTGGTTCTGTTGGCTGACCATAGAGATGACGGAGGATTGGAAGTTCCCTGACCATCTCTACAGTTTATGAAACTGGAAACGACAAGGGTTTTGTCACTTCCAATTTTGGTTTGTTGTTTATAAGTTGTTACCGGCATGTCAAAGCATCTGATCAAAACGATCTTGGTCTGATCAGATACTTTTAAGGCAAAGGAGAGAACCCAGATCTCTCCATAAAGAGGACATGTCACTGCTCCAGCTATCACAAAGGATGTTGTTCATCCCTTGTGATAGCAGTAAAGTTGATATAGAAAATTAAAGTAACACTGTAAAAAAAACTAAATAAAAAAAAATAATAAAACTAAATAAAAAAAAATAAAAGCACCCCTGTTCTGCTGTGCTTACACGCACATGCGAATATGCATGTCAATCCCGCATGCATATGCAAATGGTGATGGCACCACATGTGAGGTATTGCCTTGAACATCAGAGTAAGAGCAATAATTCTAGCACCAGACCTCCTGTGTAACTCTAAACTGGTAACCTGTAAAGGCTTGTTAAGCGTTGACTATGAAGATGATTACCGAGCATCTCCGATGGGGGGGGGGACTGTTTGTAAATAAAAAGTTCTCCTCCATGTCAGCTCGTGCACAGTGTGCTTACAGTGAAGCACACAGACACAGCCCCCATAGTAAAACACACACCGTTAACCCTTTGATCGCCCCACATGTTAACCCCTTCCTGCCCTGTGCAATTAGTACAGTGTCAGTGCTTTTTATTAGCACTGATCACTGTATTGGTGTCACTGGGGATGTCAGTGACACCAAGTCGGTTTCCCCCAGTGTCAGAATGCCCACCGCAGTCCCGCAGTCCTACTATAAGTCCATTTGTAAACGCTATAACTTTCACACAATCCAATTAATTTGCACAGATTATTTTTTAGCAAAAACATGTAGCAGAATACATTTTGGCCTAAATTTATGACAAAATTAGATTTTTGAAATTTTTTTACTGGACATGTTTAATAACAAAATGGTCAAAAATATTGTTTTTTTCTCAAAATTGTCGGTCTTCTTTCTGCTGTCTAGTTCCTCTGTTATCAGCATGAGTTACTTTTGACAAGTTTTCCTTACACCAAGGACTAAAATGGTGATGGGAGAGAGCTTCAGCTGATTGACAGCCTCAGCTCTGTTCCTGTGTACTATTTGAAGTGGGGTGTGTGAGCTTGTAAAAAAATCCTTTATATCTATGAGTTTTACAAGTTTGTCTAGGACAAATTGTTGCAGATAAACAGGTACATTTTATGTAGGAGGATTTGTTTCATCTCTGTGTATCACTTGAAGCCAGTCACTTCACAGGGTATAGGTATGGGTTTACAACCATTTTAAAACAGTAATATACTCTAAAAGCAAGCATTTATATTATTGCAGTTTACACATTCTTAGATGTGGTGGCTGCATTAGTTTTCTTTTTTAGGCTCTATTTCTTCTATTTTCATCTGGTGAACAGAACAAGCTGTTGTGCAGATGTAGCAGTTAGAGGGTGAGATAAACCATTTAACACTGACAGGGGTGCTTACAATGATGAGCTGTTATTTATTTATGTATAACCCTTATTCCAAAAGGAAAAAAAAAATGTTTGCTGTAACTGCCTATAAAGTGTTAGCTGGAGTTTGACTTCAATTTGTTAGTATATTTAAATCTGCTTGTACATCTAACACTCCTGTCCTCCCAGGCTAACAATGCTGCTGTGCAAAGGTGTCTCTGTTGTTCCTTCATCCAGAGTGGGAGCACTCTAATACAGGAGATGTATTACTGGCCAGATCATCAGATGAAAACAGATGAAAAATCCCCCCCCCCCAAAAAAAAAAAAAAAAATTAAGCAGAAACCACATCTGAGGATTGGCCAGCTGCAATATAATGCTTTTTGTTTTGGGATTTTATACTGTTTTAGAAGGTGCTCCTGACCTTTTACTGACCCCCCCAAGCTCCATGAAGTTGCTTTTGCATTCCCATTGGCTTACATAAGGTCAAAAGCAGTTCTAAGTGAAGAACATTTTTTACATTTTTTGATGATGCATTTGTTGGTTGTCATTCCCACCCACTGCTGCCCCATCATTCTTTGTCCTACTTCTGCATGTACACAAAGGGGTGGGGATGCTGACAACATCATTGAAAGGCTGTGACCACATGTCCCTATTAGGTCAATGATTTTGGGCATGTGGCAATATTAGGTCAATGATATCATGAGCATTCCTGCCTTTTTGTATGTGCAGCTGTGGGCCAAGAAATGCCCTGGCTGCAGTTGATTGGACCTGTCTGATCCCAAGTTCAGACCAAAGCCAAGCTCATCCTTATTTCCAAAGAATACCAGTCAAATTCAAGGGAAGAAGAAAAATCAATATTTTTGCTCACATATGATTGGATGAAGGAAGTCAGCAGAGCATCATTACAATTAACTAACTAATAGAAACTTGCCTTGGAAATTGGATAGCCCATTCGTCTCTAGTAAATCAACCCCAAGAAGTCTAAAGTGTTATTACAGATTTAGTGCTTTTAACATTCTTGATAAATTCAAAACAAGGGTTGCAATGTAGCACACCCAAATCAGTTTTTATTGATTGTCCTGCAATTCAAAATTCAACTGTATCCTCAGCCGTGAGATGTTTCTCCCAGCAGAATGGAAAACAATCATATGTGAGACTAACTCACTTTGGGCCCTCAGGTACTGGTGGCTGTGTTTAATTATGAAAGAGTCAGAGCTCTGAAAAAGGATAGATTAACTCCCTTTCTAAAATGCAATGTTCAGTCTTCTGCCACTTGATGGGGCCCTGAGTGGTGCACATAAAGATTAAAATCTTGCTTGATGCAAGGGGTGGGAGTTCTCCAAAGAAGGTGAGCATAAAGTGAGGGAAGCTGTTCCCTACAATGAGGCTACATTTGAAGGGTGTCCCTTTGGCACTCCCAGGACTAAACCAGAGAGTTAGGCTGAGATTGAGAGAAAGGGGGGGGGGGGGGGCAGAGTACACATCTGCAATAGCATGGGAATGCTAGAAATGCCCCTGGTGAGTGGCGAAAACTGGGTCTGAAGCACCAAAACAGCTTGACCTGCAGGGTGAAGATATTGCAGTAGGCTATTGTGATTTAGTATGTTGAGTGTGTGTAGTGATTAGTAGGCCGCAAGGCAATATGGGTCAAACGATCTAGACGGCAACATGTGTAATTTGTAAAATGTGGAATGTTAAGTTGAGTAAAGTGTAACTGGGTTTAGCAATGTCCTTGATAACGTAGACAATTTAAGATATGGAGCTCTCTCACCCGGACCATGGCTGCGGTCAGGTAGCAGATGAGGGCCCTGTGTTTTTCAGATTCCTCCAACACCAATCATTCCAGATGACAGCACTCCGGTTCACCTGTTCCCTGGGCAATGTCTCCACCTATTCCTTACTCCTTCACTCTCTCTGCGGTTCTGGCCCAGCCTGGAACTCTGGCATCTCGCACAACTTTCCTCTCCAGCTGTCATTGTTCACCTCTCTATTCAGTTCCCAGGCCGTGGTATATTTCTGCCCCCGCCCATCAGCTAGTTCCTCTGGGAAATGTAGCTTGTCCATTCCACATCAAACAGCAAAGTCCTGCTAGCAGCCTACAAGTCCCAGAACTATAATTTAATTGGCATTGCTGAATCTTGGCTTCATTCTTCACATGGTTGAGCCATTAATATTCCTGGCTATGTTCTCTTTCAGAAGGACAGGGTAAAAAGGAAAGGTGGTGGTGTCTGTCTCTATGTGAGAAGTGATCTCAGAGCGAGTGTGAAAGAGGACCTAGTTGATGGAGAGTGTGATGAGGCTAAAGCATTATGGGTGGAACTGCACTACAAAGGTAATCATTTGAGTTTTTTTATAGGCCTTCCAACGTTAATGAGGATGTGTAGACTCAGCTCCTTGCACAGATCTAAAGGGCTGCAAGGGCTGGGACAGTGACCATAACATGATTTCATTTATTG